ATCATCCCCGGCCCGCCGCTCAGCTCCTGCATCCCGGTGACTCATTGAGGAGCAGGGATGGGAGCGGAAGGCGGCCGCCACAGCCCCCCGAAGCAGCCGTGAACTGAGCGCCGATCTGCGGCGGGCATCGGTGGGGCAGGGCGGCGAGGGGACGGTGAGGCAGAGGATGATGCACAGCCGTGAGTGGAGCTGTGCGGGACGCAGGGGACACAGGCAGCCCAGACTGGCAGCTCTGGGCATTCAGAGCTACTGTTGGGCCGGAGAGCCTCATCTCACGGCTTGGATGTCGCCTCAGCCCCTTCTTCCAGCCTGGCTTTGCAGTTAGCAGGGGATTCCCGTGCCCAGGACACCGCAGGAGCTGTGTGAGCACCCGGTCATCCCGAGGCTTTGGCTCTGCCCGGCTTCTCCGCAGCACAGGGTGGTGGTGGGAAGGCAGTGTGTGCCGCGGGCTGCTCTGCTGCAAATGAAGCAGTGCAAGAGAAGGTCAGAGCATTAGCTCATCGCTAACAGAAAAGTTCAGGCAATTAAGCTTTAAGACACATTGGAGGGTACTGGCAGTGATTACAAATGTCAGAAAAACATTTTATGGCAATAAATAACAAATGAACACAGACTTTTACCAGCCTCTTGAAGCCTGGAGGAAAATAAGGTCTTTTATTATATTTTTCTGAGGAACTTTCCCTCTTCAAAGGCAGTCAGCAAATGCTAGCCATTGTAGGAAGGAAACTGTCTTACTCCACCACCTCCGAATAGTCAATTCTATCCCCTTAGAGAACTGGCTTGCTCAGAGATCTTACAAACAGACCAGCAAGTAGCAGGAACGGCAAACTGCTGCTGCCCAAAGGGCGGTGTGGGCATTACAGAGGTGCTGGGCTGCGGGTGGTTGGAGCTTAGCAGAGCTGGCTGTAAAGCTTCACCTCGAGGTACTGCGTGCTGCCACAGAACATGCTTCCATAGCTATTTCCAAGCTAGTTTTGAAGCCAGAAAAATGAAATAGAACGTTTTATGCAACTGATAGCCCCCAGTTCCCATCCGCTGCCTACCTCTGGCAATGTGAAGTTTCCCCAGCCACCTCGGGGCCTCTTTTCCCTGGAAAGGGGAAGGACTCCTGCTCCCTCCCTTGATCTGGGGGCTGCTCAGGACACAGCCAGGCTGCTCCCAGCAGCTGCAGCCCACACCATGGTGAGGGAAGGCTGACACTCCTGGTCACTGCTCCAGCCCAGAGGTTGCAGCTCCAAGGAGAGGAAAGCCATCAGCCTCCTGGACTCATAAGGACATCAGGAGCTGCTGGCACTGCCAGCCAGGCCTGTCACCAACTGGGGAAGGCAGAATCACATACCAGGATGTGATTTGGCTGAAAGTCTGCGCTTATCCAATTGCAGCCTTCCTTCACAGAAATCCCCCAGGATAGCTGCAGTCAGGAGTGCTGCTATCTGCACCCCCACCCCTGCCCACTGCTGCAGTACTGCATGGGCTCTTGTGAGCTCTCCCACTGCATCTCAGATCAAAGCCGGCCAGCCCAAGGCACTGATGAGTGGGTTTTAAAAAGTTGCAGCTCAGTCCTAAATAAATCCCATCTGCTTTCATCCTCACTGCAGTTTAACAGACATTTACAGGCCCCTGGGTAGTGCCTCAGATTCCCTTTGTCTCTGCTGAATCAAATGGGGACGAATCCCATTGAAAAGCCCATTTCAAAGACATCAGCATCTCCTCTGTCCCATCTGCGTGGGCTGGGAGCAGTGAGGGCGGTGCAGCGCTGGGGCTGCACTCTCCAGGAGCACATTGCTGTGTGCTCATATAGCCTGCAGCATTGAGCTCCCAGTCCTCACCGAGCTCCTGATACAACAAACCTGCTGTTTCCTGTGCTAGCGATGTGCAGACCTGGCGTGCTGGTTCAGCTGTGCTTGCAGGCAGCATTCAGACTCCTAAGGCCTGAAAAACTGGCTGCAGGTCTCTGTGGCAACACGTTATGTTATCTTACACGATTTATGGCCCACCCTGCTCCAGGTGAAGTCAGAAATACCACTGCAGTGATCCCTCCTGATATTGCCACATTTCTACACTGCTACTCTGACACACACTGCTAAGGGAGAAATGATGATAGGAACATTTACACTTCCACCCAGAGAACTCTCTAGGGGCTGTGCTGGTATCTTGGGGCAATGACAGCAGTTTCCTGCTATTCCCAACTTGTAGTTCTGGCTGGAGAATAAGACTAGGTTGTGTTCAGGGAGGAGTACCTGAGTTAGCCAAGGGATGGAATTAGGGCTTTTTTTTCTTCTATTTCCTCTTTTCCATTAGTAAAGGTGTGACAGAGGAAGCGAGGGGAGCAAACACCCCGGGAACTAACATGATGGAGTTGGTCAGAAATGCAGTCCCTGCACTCCTGGGATGGCTGCAGTGGAACCACAGCTCCCAGGGCGCAGTTTCTTGGCACCATCTGAGCTCAGCTGGGCTGCGGGTGAGGTGACCTGCTTGTCCCATAGCTGTGAAACAGGGCCAGCCCCGCCTTGGGAGAGCACTGCTTCTCCAGAACTGAGGTGGTGGGTGATGACAGCTCTGCTAAGCTCTTCTGCTAAAGCTTACCCACGTCACACCAGGAATTACACAACCTTGTGCTAGAGGAGGAAGGAGAGAGAAAAACTCGGTGAGCCTGCTGTCAGGGCAGCTGTATGGCACATACCAGTCTGATCCCTCTTCCAGATCATTATGTATACCCAATGGTAGGGCTCCATAAGTACAGAGATTCATTTGTGATCAGAGACAGACACTGACAAAGAGTCATCTTCAAACAAACACATAAACAGCAAACAAAACACTCTGTTAGCAAACATGATTTCAAAATAGCAGCCTACATCTTACCCAGCTTCCCTGCCCCCTCTGCTTCCTGCAGGCTGCCCCGAGCTGCTGTCTGGGTGCAGGAACCCGGTCTGAATTTTTCCTGGCTGTCCTCAAGTCCTGGGACTCTTCCAAGGCACAGTGGGAGGCAGTAATCCTCCACCTGCCCCTCACCTGTTGTGCAGGAGCTGCAGAACACATGGTGCCACTGCACATCTCTCAGCGTGCCTTTGGGTGACGCCAGTGCTCTGTCCCCTGGGAGGTGCTCCTGGGGAGCTGCTGTTGGGTCTTTCGTGAATTATGCATACGATCTCCTCCTGGTTTCCTGGGACCAAGCTGGGAACTGCTCGTTTTTCAGAGCCGCAGACCCTGAAGTGCCAGCAGCTGCATATCTGCTCCACAGCAAGGTCTCTGCTTCAGTCAAATCTCAGTACAGAATTTGTGGCTCAGCAGCCGATCCATTTGCATGTTTAATTCAGTAACTATTTCATTCTTACACTCAATTCACTTGGGGCAGGCATCCTGTGCTCAGCTATGTAACGCTGCCAGGACTGGATCAGCCCCTTTCACTTTCTGTTTCCAGAGCAGCTAGTCTCAGACAAACCCACAGGGACAGCAGTCAGGTTCCTGGCCATGAGATAATTTGCTGTTTAATCGGCAAATCCCTGCAACCAGCGGTCACTAAATGCTTGTCTCAGACACCACACTCACTGCCCTCAACACAAGGAGCAACAAGATCTTAAGTGGGTAGGGCTTCAAGATTTCCTCACTAAGGCTTAGAACAAGATGTAACAGCTGTAGTTAAAATTACCCCATCTCTGCTACCTCCCACCACACCAGGGAAGTTATTTTTAGGTTATTAGAGTCTTACCACGGAAAGCACTGGTGACAATCTGCTCATCTCCCAGGGAGCTGAGGCAGATCTCAGCCATGTGGCTGCACAGAGAGCAGTGCTGCAAGCTGGCCAGTGGCTTTCTGACAGCCTCCTCTCAGTGCACTGAGCAGTGAACCACTCTTCTCCCATCTGATTAGTTATGCAAAGAAAAAGCAGCAGATCCCCCATAACTCAAGCAAAGAGGAAGAGGTGGGATGTATTCCCCAGCAGCAATGTGGTCTCAGCCCAGCCTGCTCTGAAGGTCCTTCTCCTACCTTTGGATTAAATTGGACACACACCTGTTTCTCCAGCACTGTTTGTTTTACTTTCAAATAAACTTGGTGGGCTGAAGCTACTCCAGGAGTCCCAGAGGCACCATACAGGCAGGACCCAGTGCGCACTAAGTTGCAGGGATAGTCAAGCAAAGCTGAAGGAGATTAGCCTTTAATGCGATTCTCAGGGCAAACCCTTAAACTGTGGGATTGCCAGGATTCCAGCAGGAAAACTAACAAGCTTGCTGCCCTCGTGGCCATCAATCAAACTCTCCCAGTGTCAGGGAAAGTCGCAAAGAAACCTAGAAATGGCCCAGACACAGAGGAGCATCCCGGCCATTGCCTCCCACATCACATATTTGGCAGCACAGTCCTCTGTGAACCATACTGCAATGCAGACACTGTTACCCAGATGTTTTGCTCTGCCTTGTAAATTAGTGCCTGCTGAGTCTCTTGTGGTTTATCTTACATTCTGTCCCAGAGAGCAGGCCACGTATTGGAAAATGTGGCAGTGCTCCTTTCTGTAGCACCAGATGCAGCTACCACATCCACGTCACTTCAGGACTCGGGGGATCATGAAGGTCTGGAAGCTGGCTTGTCACACTCAAGGTTTCATTTTAGGTTTGCCAGGGTCCTGCTGCACGCTGCCCTGCTGAATCATTGCCGTCCCCCTCCTCCCCTCTTCATAGCTCAGTGTCTCTTCCCTCTCCGTGGGAATAATCCATAATAATCCTTTGTAATCCATGGGAACCTGGTACAGACGCAGGCTTAAGAGCTGTGAACATATGGAGTCCAGGGGTTGGACATATTTGTCATGAGAGCCAGGAGGAGACGTCTGGTACTCATACTGAAGCCTTGCACAAACATGGACATGTAAGACTCCAGGCTGCAAATAAGCCTCTGAATGAAGTGTGGATGTGTAACAACAGATGTCCAAATTAAACAAACTAACAAAAGAACTGAAGTACATAAGCTTTCCACTTTAAATATCAAAAAATAGAGAGGGAGCCTCAGAATTCTGTTACCATCCATGTACACATTTATTAAGCCAAAGGAGTTCAATCATGTCATGGTATGTCACTAGAGCACGAGATCCCTTCTCTTCAACTTGCTAACAATAGTTATTAAAATTACTTTGTTTTTTGCCTTTTGAGCTTAAACAAATTAACTCTTTCCACACTTCCCCATGAAAGGCTCTTTTGTGGCTTTTTCTTTCTCCTATCCTTTCCTTTCAGTACAAAACAAATGTTTCACAGATATGTAAACATAACCATCACAGAAATGAAACTGCTCTAAAAGTTACTTTTCTTATGTTATGGACGTTTTGTTAGATTTATATCCTGTTAGAGGTACTTCGGCTTGGTGAATCCTTCAATGGCCAGCACTTGCACTGCGATGGTGCCTACAGACCCTGAAGAGGGTTAAGGCCCTTCTGTGCAAGGTGCTGCAGAAATACTTTGCTGTAACACACTGAGGTCTCTGGCAAAAATGGCATTCACTGATGCTACTAAAACCCTCTTTGCTTCCCTCTGATCAACGGTGACCCTCTCAAATTACAGGAGGTGGAGTGAAACTCCACTCCAAATGAAGTCTGGAGTTGATGTTCAACTACTGTTGAAGAGAAGAGAAATGTTACAATGGGCCAATCCTGATGACTGCAGTCCTGCCACTAAAGCTTCTCATGCTCATGGGAATGCTTGTATGATTAAGAAACTTCTGTGGGAGAGGCCTGCCAGAGTGAGTCCCTTGATCACTGAACTCCTTGCTTTGCAAGAAAGCACGCAAAAAAAGCAGTCTGGTTCCTTTCTCTAGTAATTATTGGTATAATTCTAAGAGAAAAAGGGATATGGTCAGTTGCTTGGTTGCAACGCTGTGTTTTGAGTTCTGATCCCCAAATTAAAAAAGCCTCTGCTTTGCTTTGGGCTACTGTGACCAGGCCTAAAAAAGCCTGTTGGATACTCACAGTCATCAGGAGGCAGTGGTTTGCCTCTACAGCATGGAGTGCCTCTGCTATATGGTGTGAAGGCTGCGTCTTAAGCAGGAATTCTGAAGATTGTGAATGATCAACAGAAGAAATTATTTTGATACCATTTCAGAGCAATTGCAATTTAAATAATGATTTTTTCTCAGCATTTGAGGTGAAAATAAAAAGATCACATGAAATAAATAGCAAAGAAACAACGTCCCTGTGAACATAATACATTCCTGCCTACGAAGCATCCCTTGCAAGTTACTGCCCTGTAGGTTTTGTCAGATGTTTAAATGAACCCTTTAGAGCTACAGTACTCTGAAATGAGGTTAGAAAAATTTAAAAAATGGGAATTGTGTACAATGCTCTCCTTAAAACAAAATGCCCCCCTGGGGTAACCTAGGAGTGTGAGGCCTCAATAGACATAGAGCCGATCCGAAATGGCTGCAGGCATGTGGGTCATGATCTGCATGCGCAGCCACCAGTAGTAATCCATGGGGTGGTAGCGAGTGTAGGGGGCCGTGGCGGTGAGCGCGTGGGCGACGCTTTCAATGACAGGCGAGGTGTCTGTCGAGCCGCTGTTGCAGTACGTCTCCATCTTGCTGACCTGCTCATCAAAGTACTTTCTGCCGTAGTCTTTGCGCACGATTTCGGGGAGCTCGTCCCACATTTTATCGGCTATGGCTTTGATGCGCTCGGGGCTGTACAGGTTGGTGGCAGCTATGAAGTTGCCAGGCTCCACGATGCTGACCATCACCCCCTGGGGCTGCATTTCGTACCGCAGGCAGTCAGAGAAGGCTTCCACACCAAACTTGGTGATGCAGTATGGTGACCGGGCAGGACTGCCCATCCGACCCATCATGCTACTGATGTTCACTACACGACCTAGGCAGAGGCCAGGGAAAGCACAGCTGAGCTGACAAGTGCAGACCAGATACCTGACGTACACCACCCACCAGATTCATGAAAGTGCATCCAGTTCACTCTGCATATCTCTAAGAGCTGCCTGACAGACCTGCTGCTGAGCTCTGTCTGAGCTGTGTCTGAGCTCTGCTGTCCTACATAGCAGCCTTCAGGCAGGAAAACAAGCCCCCTGCGGGGTGCTCCCTTTACATGCCAGCATAGGCACATGGTGATGCAGAAAGCAAAGAGCTATGGGGAACACAGAAGAGGCTGGACAGAACTTGCATAGTGAGAAACAGGATTGTTCAGCAGCAATCAGGACTGAGCTCAGACAAGAGGAAGCAGCATCAAAGCAAACCTCTGTCACCAAGACTAAACTTGTTTTTTTGCAAGGCTAAGGCACAATATTCAGGAGCCCAATGGTGCCTTATACTGCCTGCCTCTCAAAAGTGATTGCTCCTGTACCACAACTGGCAAAAGCATTGTAAGTCCGATGCTTCTTTTCCTACATGACAGCTGAACTGTGGCTTCAGAAATAGAGCTGGGCACCCTCTCCTCACCAGAAGCCACCCATTTTGGTAGTGGAGAGTGCTAGGATGCTGCAGCCTAATCAGAGGCTGCACATCACACACTGTCAGTGCTCTATGCTGAGTTGCACTAAAAAGAGGTTTGACCACAAGGACAGCTACATTCCCATGATGGAAGAAATGCTCCCTGGGACACATAAAGTCCAGGTGTCCAGCAAGACACGGGACAAAGGAGAGATCCATTTCACAGAATGCCAGTCAGGAGGAGATCACTCACCTTTTGACCTCCGGATGAGTGGGAGGAAAGCCTTGGTGGTTCGCACAGTCCCCCACAGGTTCACTTCAGCCACTTCCATGTAGGTGTCCATGCTGGTGAACTCTACCTCCCCAAATGTGGAGATCCCAGCATTGTTAACCAGCCCCCAGAGCCCTAGAAGACAAATCAAACATAAATCATCTCCTCTCTGAGACAAATGAGATCAGTTTGGGAAAAGCTTTGCTAACAGATTATTGACCCATTTAACACAGCACTTATGACCTGTAGTGATGAAGCCAGATAGAAAAGAGCCCAGAGTGAGACTTAAGTCTTCTGAGCAAATAAATCCACAATCAGGATCAGTCAGAAAGCACTGAGGAAAATGTAGCTTGACAAAGGGTGGAATGGTTTCAGGAATGCATGAGCAACTGGGATTTTTGCCATAGTGGAGCAAAATTTGCTCATTAGAGTGAGACAGGTACAGCTACCCCTTGAACTTTGACATTTATGGTAACATCTACAATAGCATTAACATTAGCCAGCTTCATGAGAAATCCTTTGAATAACCTCTCTACTTCCTTTGCCAATTTTTGAACATTGGCCGGGATTTATGCCATAAAGGGAGTCACAAGAAATCTCAGGTCACAAGAATAAAGCACTAATCCCAGGGTCTTGAAACAGCACCCCAATTTCTGCTAATGTCCCCTATAGGAGCTAGTTGAGAAAAAGCAGAGTGATTTTTTTGTTTTGTTTTCTGGAGATGTCATCTTATGGTACAAGTGGGAAGCTGCATTCTGATATGGCACATTTAAACAGATCATTTGCTCCACACTGCTGCTCTTCAAAGCTTTTTGCCCTCCAATCGCAAGCGCAGCTTCTGAAGCATGCCCTGAAAATGCTCTCAGAGCCCAGCTGAGGGAGCTCTTGTCACTTATCTGCATATGACCTTACAGCCCACTGAATGCACCCACCTTTCTCTGGGTCTTCCAGGCTGCTGTTCACATGCTCCACTGCTCGGTCCACCTCTTTGCTGTCACAGACATTGAGCTGCACAGTTCTCATTCGGTCACTGTTCATGTTGTCCAGCTCCTTGGAGCCACCCTCTCCCTTATTCTAGAGGGGAAGAAAGAGCTGGTTTGAATTTGGCCAAAGAGTTGTGTAGAAGATTAAAAACACACCAACCACCAAGTCAAGCAAAAGAGAGTATGCAGGGTAGACAGTATTATCAGGACAGTCCTGCAGTTCAAAGAGAAAGGAGACAAACAGGGATGTTTCTGCAGAAGAACACCATTCCCTGAGCCATCTGGCCATCAGCTTTGCCATTGAGTCAGCTGGTACCAACTGCTTTGACCCTGGGAAGCAGGCAGAGCTGGATCTACCCCAGCAACTTAACTCCTGCCCAGTACAAGTTCCTGACATCAAGCTATGATCCACCACCACAGCAGTGTCAGTGTGGTACCACTGCCACTTTTGCCTGCATTTGGTGCACAACATATAGTGTGGCTGTGGTGTGGTATAAAATAGCTGGTGAGTGGCTGCACACATACATTGCATGTGTTTCTCAGTCACACTGCCAGCTCTGGGAGCAACAGTCCTATTAGAGGGACTGCCTGCCTACTGCTCTCTCCCTTCAGCTGATCTGTACATGCAGCTCCTGCTGCCTGGAGACTCTGCTGCCTCCAATGGACTCCTACAGAGTACAACCATCAAATGTCTGGCCAACCTGCCTGGTAGTAATTCCCCAGGAGTCTTCTCCAGTATCTTACTCTCTTCTCTCTCCACAAGCTACTTCTCACTCCTGCTTCCCATCCCCACTCTTTTTTTCCTCATCTCAGAGCAACAGAGCCCCCAGCTTACACATATATATCTGCTCATGGTCCAGCCATGCAACTGCAGCCAACCCCTCAGATTCCTTTCACATGAGCAAGCAACAGGGCTGCCATGCCCTAGGTATGCTACTTCAGTGGTCTTGCAGCCTAGTTTTGCTATGGTGCTACAAGGACACAGACAGAGAATATTAATAGGAGTTCATAACTATTCCTGAATTGCTTTCATGATTATGAGCTACTGGGCTGTGCTGGCCATGCTGGGGTACTTTTGTACAGGATAGTGATTATCTGAATCTGAAAATAAACACTTTTTTGGAACATCTCTGTCTTTACTGTAAGAAATGCCCCATGTCCCTCAAAATCATCCCTCACTAGAAGCTTTTACTCCCCAGTAACAGGCTAGCCATGAAGCATGTTCCACAGAACGATCTGATGATTGCTCCCCTAGCTGAGCTCTCATTCCTTCAGGCAGCCCTGCTTACTTTGTTAGCATCAGTAGGTAAGCATCAGAGTGCTCTTCACTCCTCAGCTTTTACAAGGCAGAAGTGTAGATGAGGCCACAAGGGTGACCATAGATTGCTCTCAGTGCCACCTTATCTTTCAACACACCTCCTGGCTCCTCTTGCTCCTCTGCTTATCTGCCGTGCTCACACACAGTACCCTGAAATTCATTAACTTAAGTGCCTGGTCTCTCCTGCATATCCTTCTTCACCCTCCCTTATTCCAAAGCAGACCATTAATACTGTTTAGTGCTTTTCTTTAAGAAAAGGCATTTACCGCACTCACTTCATACGGAAGCATACTGCATATGGTATTGAGCCACGAAAAGCCCCATGCATAGTTTAATGACATTTGGTTTTACAGTGACTGAAAATAGAGTTTTATGCTGTTTGTTGCTCACTCAAACCCACTTTGGTGCTCAAGTCAGTGTGCATGGCAAAGCACCGAAAAGCATACCAAAGGCACATGTGGGAATGCCAAGAGGGAATCAGCAAGCATGCAAGCCCCTTAGAATCAGCAGCGATAGCTAAGAGACAATGGACAACAGCAAGGCCAATGTGCTTCTTTCCCCTGTCCCATATCTATGAAATCACCTCCCACAGAAGAAAACCATGAGAGCACAAGGTGGAAAAGGCACATGGCTAAACATGTCAGAAATTCTGGTAAAGATGTGCAGCAGTGAACTTGGTTCTTAAGCATTCAATTCTCCTTGCATAACCACAGCAGCCTCAGAGGCCTCACAAGCTTTACGGGGAACTTCACAGCATCTTCTTCCTCCCTCACAGAGCTGTCTCAGCAAGCCAACACCCCTCCTGCCTCCCACCCTTATGCAGCTAGGTGCTTGTACAGGGACACCCTGGGAAGGGATGCTGACTTGAGTGCTGAACTCTGGACACTAACCCAGGCACACAGGGTCATTCCCTTGGCTCTTCAGGAAGGGCAGATGGGTGGTGTTTCACTCAGGTACCCTGTGATGGTGTCATGCACTCCTGGCACAGGACTCAACCCCTTGGCCCACAAGCAGCAGTGGAAGGATCTTATTACCCTCTGCCAAGAGACCACTGCATCTCTGCTGTCAGCCCCAAGGTTCACTGACCCCATGGCAAGAGGTCTCAGCTCTGGCATCACTGTCTCATCTTTCCCTCTCCATGGTCACTCCCTGCAGCCCACAGCTCCAGCTCGGATCTTTCTCACTGTGTCCTTGAAGCGGCACGTGGCTCTGAGCACTCCTTCTGAGCCCTCCAGTAACTCACACCCTGGGTTGACCACATAACCTCTGGTTCTGCACCCTCTGCAAGCCTCAACAGACCTGAGCACACAACGCAAAGCAAGCAGAGATCCCACAGCACTCCTGACAGTAGTGACAAACATCACATGTCCACTGGTAACAGATACTGATGGAAAAATACCTTCTTCAGCTTGTGTCAGCTGGCTCGTCCAGCTATTAACCAAAGAGGAAAAACAAGACAGCTGCAGTGTGATCGTTCATTGAATCCACTGTCTTTTGGCAATGAAGAATCAATATAACTCTCAAACTAACATTTGTTAGTGAAAATAGTGAAACTAGTGAATTAGCACTGTTAGCACAGATGCATCCTTGGGCTGCCCTTAGTCATGACTTTAAAAACCCCTCAGATTTCCTTCAGTAAAAAGTATAGTCAGGCTCTCAGGATCTGCCCGCTCTAGGAAATGCTCCTAACAAAGAGTCAGCACTGCACACATTTTGCATCTGCGAGGAGACTGCATACCCTGGGGATATGACAGTGCCCTGAGCTGGAGTGTGTTCCTGATGTGCAGCTGTGCTCTGACAAGTAGTCATGTGAAAATAACACTGAAGTTTCATACTCATTTCCTCTCAGTCAGAGCAAGGTCAAATATATCCAGTTTACAAGCAAAATACAATGCTTCGTATTTCCACCTTTATTTCACTCTAGAGCCAAAATAAATGCTAGCATTGTTCTGCCCCTAAAATCAGCACCACCAACAATAACATTGATTTTATAGCACGTGGTTCTGCTCACAGTTTTGCTAATGAAACCTGTAACATAAACAGAAATCAGCTCAGTGTCTTGGAGTTTAGTTCTGCAGGATTATGAGCCTGTTTTTTTCCATAATGAATATGATCTGAAGACACCTAGTACACCAATTTGCTGACTGTGTCATTTATAGCATTTTTCTGATGACAGCTGCTGTTACCAGTCTTGCCATGGTCACACAGACTTTGGAACATAGCATATGAATGCAGCTAAAAAATCAACAGTCAATTACACAGGGATACAGTAAAGATTTTTGCTGATTCTTGCAGAGGAAACAAATGTTGATCAAAGAGTTCTGGCATGCTGCTTCATGTCAGCTTATGGTGAAACTGTCAGAGGCCAATATTTTCCACTAACATGCTGTAGTGGAAATGCTAGGTCATGGCCTGAAGCACTGATTGAGACCTGGTGGGAAGGCAGGGCCAATCCAGGGGAGCTCAGGTGCACACAATGCACCTGAGTGACTGGAAGAGGTGGAGCCAGGATGCAACCCTTCCCAGATCTCATTTAAGGGTTGGCAGTGGAGGTAAAGGCACTTTAGTGGAGATCCCTGCCTACTGAAAGCTTTCTAAATTTAAGCAGTTTTTTTTTGTTTTTTTTCCCTTTGTTTCTGTGTCCAGGGCTTGTTCTGATTTGCTGTAGTCTAGGATTGTGTTACTCCATAACCATTGCTGTACTTTCCATCACACAGTAGCATTACACATGCATTCAGCAGCATGAATACTGAAGACACCAAAATAGAAGGGAAGCTTCAGCAACAGTTAAACACATACTTGTGTTTTTCTGATGCTCAGAAGGAAGTGAAATGAGGAGTAACCCTGTGGCTTTGAGATCTTTGGCTACTGCCAATGTATAGGCAGGCTATTATTCTGAACAGTAGTTTTAAGTCTACAGTATTATCTTCTCCAACGCTTATTTATAGTTAAAAAAGCATGGTGAAAAAAAATCTGCAAAAAAAGAACTCTTCTATTCTTTCTCTTCTCGTTGTCTTTAAAAAAGTAGCAGTTTATAGCAGGTATCCTGTTTAGCTGTGAAGCCTGTAGAGGGAGCCAAAGTTAAAAAAAATAAACCCTCGACTCAAAGCTGAGACCACAAGTGATAGAGCAACCTAAACACACTTTTCAAATTGTGGTAGAAAGTAACAATTCAAGCAAAATGTTGTGATAATGGCAAGACTAACAACAGAACGAATATTGATAATACTTATAGAAGCACCCAATAAAGTCTCTTTAAATAATATCACTGTGAATGTCTCCTAAGTAGTTATAAGTAAACTAAAAAGATTAGGATCAAAATAACTGATTCACCCCAGGATATCCTGAGAAGTAAGCTTGGTTTCTACTGGGAAATGACAGTGCAGCTGAAAAAGAAAAGCCTCCTAAGGAGAAGCTAAAGCTTGCTCTCATTCTTCATGACCAGGTAACTTGGACTGCTCTTGGAGAGCAAACTGAAGACTGCATCACTGAACTATGTGTGTCCTGGTTGTGCCTCATATGCACTACTGAAACTATTGCTTTCACAGTGATTTCAGTGTGTACCTGCAGTGCGCACTGCAGCATGGTTGTGCTCATGAATGTAAAAGAAAATACTCATACCACATACTATAAAAACACTAGTGGTTTGTTGGATGTCATGACTAATCAAAATAAACTCTGCATAATTATGTATAAACTGAGTGCAGCTCCAAAGGTTCAAACTAAACCAATCCTCAAATCATTTACAGGTAAGCCTATAAACTCAGATTTGGGGTTTGAGTCAATTGTATTTGAAAAAGACCAGGATGTCTTAATTCAAATAGGACCATTTCCAAACCCTGATGAGCTCTTGTTATGGTCTAGACCAGGTAATGCTCCATGAATTCAAGCACATGTGCATTTTCTTTTGTGTGACCAACAACCCTCCCTCTCCTTGGCCAGATGTTGTGGAGATGAAAAACAGGATTTACTGTGTGTCTGTTCATATGCCACAGATGAAGAATAAAGCTTCTGTTTTTCCTACCTTCTGCAGGCAGCCAGCATAGATAATGAAGCCTTTAGCATGTAGGTGCTTGGCCAAGGCAAATCCAAACCCAGAGTCACAGCCTGTTATAAGCACAGCTCTGCTGCCAATCTGCAAGACAGAACAAAACAATGCCCTGGAACCGAGTAATCAGAAACAGTGATTTGTGTGCACTGAACAAATAGTGTCCTTGGCCAGGAGCAACCTGTTCTAGGCACATTTTCTACGTTCATTGCCAGCTACTGCCACACAGTGCCTCCAGAAGACAGGAAACTAAGGCTTCATGCCAAAAATCACTCCAGTGAGGTAGGATTGCTGTCCTCCCAGCACTTTTGGCAATAGGCTTTCAAAGCAAAGAGACCAAGTAAACCAGCTTCTCTGGCAGTTCATATCCATTTTGGGAACTGTCTGCTTTATTTTCACATTTCAAAACATGTTTTTGCTTCAGTAGGAACTGTTGTATTTTCAGAGCAGGCAGGAATCCACTCTTCCCTATTTTGCAGCCTGTAGGGTGTATGGAATATAGTTTGACTGAAGAAGATGACAACAGGTTAATATTACTGACTGCTTGTTTGTCTTCATCTTTCCAGCACATAAACCCTCATTTTAAGATCTAAGTAGGATCACAAGGCTTGTATAGTTGAAATTAAGATCAATCAGTGATTAGTCTTCTATTTAAATTACAGGTTTGAAAAATAAGTAGTACACTTCTTTCCTTCTCCAAATACCTTGCCATCTCACAAAGAGAGGCAGCAGTCAAGTGCTGTGTTAAGAACTGCATCATGTATCAACCATTTTAGCAGCACCAGGTGTGTACACAGCAAGGTGCTGCTGTGGGTGGGATTAGTAATGACTGTTTGCAACTCATTTCAGCTTATCTCTGTTAAAACTAGAAGCTTGGCATTTCCCAAGATACAAGAGGACTGAGAGTTACACCAGAAGCCTGACATCACAAGGGCCATATATGAATTCCTTTGAGACTCTGTCCCAGACAAAATGTGCATGCTCTGGTACTGTTACAGAGCTGAGTTCTGTGCCACGTTACAGTGCCAGGCAAAAGGAAAGAGGATGTTCTGCACTTTTTTTTTCTGTTAAGTTAGTGCCTTCAAGGAAAGAGCTATTAAAGAAGAGGGTCAGTCTCCAGAGTGAGATGTGAGGACGCTCCAATTTATTTACATCACTTTATACAACCATACTCTGGAAAGAGTGCTTTATTAAGAACTTGTCATGCAAATTCCCTCCACTCTAAGGTGGAAGATTTCATCTGCTGAGTAAGTTCCAGAAATAGAAAAAAAACACCAGTCTGATTGTTTACTGCTATCCTTAGTAGCATGTACCATGTTGCGTCAATGGAATCTCTCTGCTAGGAAAGAATGTGGAGTATGTTGAAGAGGTCTAGCTCAGAGTCATTCTGGCAAATAGGAAAGAAGAATTTGGTCACCAGGCTCCAGAGAGCTTAAAGCCTCAGCTCAGCAGAACTAGATCTTGGAAACTACAATAATACTCACCTGATCAACCTCACTTGCATAAGAGCGGCTGCCACATGAGGACAAGAGAGGGAAGCAAAATTTTTGCACGGGTCTGTTAAAGAAAAACAGCAACATGGAACAATCAAGCATGGAATATCCTGTTCATACCTTGGTGCTACATATGAAAAAAAGAATATTGTGTTGCCTTTATACATAATGTGGACTGTCATCTGAATAGACAACCTCATCTACAGCTCTCCTTAGTCTAAGCCTGTCTGCTTCCTACAGTAGGAAACACTTGTTTCTCCCAAGACTCTGATGCTATTTCTATCTGCTGGACCTGTTTGGATATAGATGAGAATTCTAAAACAGTTCCTGGTTTGAATGCACAGAGTTGCCTCCACCTGCAAAATGGGCAGTACAGTGCTTTCATTTTCAACAGCAACCATGCTCTCACAAAGCAGGAGCAGTGGAAGTTATACATTCACCTATTGAAAGCACGCTGCTATGGCACTGTCTCTGATATCCATCCTAATGCTGATTTGCTTTTAATTATCTACTGTTTTTATACACAGCTCCACCCTTCTGTCATCTATGACACTTCTGCAGTGTGTACCCATTAGATCCTCTTAGATCTCATATCCCCTCTTAGCAGCTGTTAAAACAAAGATGCTTTTGTGCAATATGTGCCATGCAGATCTAAAGCTACTCTGCATAGTATGTTTGACTCTGAGGAATATACAGTGTGTTCAAAAATACAGATCAGAGCAAAGCAACAATGCCTTCCAGGGGAGAATCTGTTTAGAAAAGCTTTGTTACCAGTAGCATCTTATCTTAGGCCTTGCTATAATCCAGCAAAGCTGGGTCTAGAGAACACACCAGACTGACCGTGCCCTCTGACCTGCCAGCCACCTCTCTGGACTCTATCAGCTTTTTCACAGTTTGCTTTGAGCACTGCCATGGCCTGCTGCCTTCTTGCTTTCCTCCAGATACACTGTATTTCAGCTGTTCTCTGGTTCCTCTGATAACATCTATCCTTTAGCAGAGCTCCTCTTCGAGGCTGAATTTGCTTAATCACTCACAATTATCTCTGCTCAGACATCACAGGCACTCCCAGGGTGACCTATGCAACACTGAACTGCAATCTGCAGACACTGGCTTCTGAGCTGCATCTTCAGAAAACAAGGCTAGAGAAAGGTTCTAATAGAGCAGAAGCTTTGAACTAGGTGGAAAGGGAGCTGATCTACAGTCATATGATACAACAGATGTCTGTTGCTGATCGGTATAGGAAATCTCTAACAGGTTAGCTATCTTTGCTCTTTACAGCTCTGTCTCAAGAGCCAACCTTGATACTGTGATGTCATTATCAACAGCAGTGGAACAACGCTGAAGGTGTAAATTCTTGCTTAGCAGACCACTCTACAATCAGTGGCATGCACACTGTTGTGTGGGAACCCTGTTCTAAAGACAGTGAAATTTGCTCTGGGTTTGGACTAGCAGGGTTCTCATTCGGTACAAAGATTTGCTTTTGATTTTTTTAAAGAGCTAGATTTAGAATTAAATAATTTTCTGCCTATTTATGTTCCGAAAAAAAAAAACAAAACAGCTTTGTTATTCAACCTACCTTTCTTTCTCACTAAAATTCTCATCAACTTTCCCATTTTACATGATTAATTATCACTTAATTAAAGTTATAGAAATGTGACAGTTCCTTGCACTGCACCAAAGCCTACTTGCTGATATTCAGGAATGCCCCAAAAGGTCATGGAATCTCCATCCTTGGAGACTTTCAAACGCAGCCTGGGCACAGTCCTGGGCAAACAGCTCCTTGTTCTTCTTGAGCATGGAGGTTGACCATATGACCTCTGGAGGGCCCTCCCAACCTCAGCCGTTCTGACACTCTGTAAATAAACTGCCCCACTGAAATCAAGTAAGCCCCTGATGTACACTTTACTCAAGATCTCGCTCTTCTTCTCTACAAAGTTACTTACCTGAACTTGTTCCCTGGATTCTTGAAAGTCAGGGTTTTTACAGGGAGGCTCAGGAGAGGACGGGACAGCTTGGTTGCCAACATGTTTCCAATCAACACACTCTATCAACAGCGAGCCTGCTCTTCCTTAGCTCTGCAAGGCAAGATAGCGCCTCACCTTTAGTTGCTCAATTATTTTGTAAGTCATGCTGACTCTGTACATTTTAAAGACAAAATAAAGTCCAAAGGAACTCATCTTTCCCCCTTGCGGTTCCTCATCTTGAGATAAATGGCTCAACCTTCAGCCACCTCAACACGCTTTTAAACAAGGAAAAGACGAGAGACGGGCTGACAAGCAGGAAGTCACTTAAAGAAAACGTCCGTTTCTCTTTGTTTACTGCATCTTAGATTGTTCTCTGAAACAACTGAAAACTGAGTTATTTACTCATGGAATTCATTATTTTGAGTACAATACATGATGTAAAACAGATGCTGGAGGCACAGGTGACATTGTGCTACACGTACCCGAAGCAATGCAGCCCATACAGCCACGTGGTTAAAAATGCATTTCCTTGTAATGGAGCAGCTATGATACCGGGCTGTGCACAGGAATCCCTGTGAACCCGGGGGAGAACAAGGCTCAAGGGCAGGAATTAAGCTCAGAAAGTCCACTGCATTCATTTCTTTTTTGTTTAAAGCTGATCCAGCTCACGCACCCCAGCTTAGAGCATTGTCTCCCTCACCGCAGCCGAGAAATGGTGCCTAATTGTCAGGCTTTATGCACGTCTCCGTTGAATTCCGCATTTTTAGGGCCTGCTGGAAACGGGCCTAAACTTGAAATTGCTATGAAAGAGCTGCCGTTGGCCGCAGCTCAGCAAAGAAAGGTCTAGAAAGTGTGCATTAAGGCGCCTACGTCGCTCCGCTTTTGGGAGGGACCGGGCGGCTCCGGGAACCCCCGAAACGCTGCCGGCGTCCCGGTGCCGCCCTCCGGCCGTGCCCGAGCGGTGGACGCGTCCCTGGGCGGCCCGGCGGGCGGCTGTCATTCGGCGGCCCGGCCCCGCGAGGGGGGCGAGGGAAGATGTCGGCGGGGCCGCTACCCGCGCGGCCTGCGGGGCCCGGAGGAGAAGGAGGAAGAGGAGGAGGAAGAGGAAAAGCGGCGCGGCTCGCCCGCCCCTTCCCCGCGGGCACGCGAGGTCATCGGCAGCCCCTTACCTGCGGCCGGCGGGCGTCCCGGGCGCTGCGTTTGAATGAGGCTGGGCCGCTCACCCGGCTGCTGGGGCGCGGCGGGGGGCGGGCCGGGGGAAGGGCCGGGGCGGGCGCGGGCGGCGGCGGCGACGGGCGGCGGCCATAGGCTGAGGCCGAACCGCCGCGGCCATGCGCGGCCCCGCCGTGCTGCTGGCGCTGGGCGCCGCTCTGTGCCTGGCCCCCCGCCTCCTGCGGCGGCTGCGCCGCGCCCTGCCCGTGAGTACCGCGGCGGGGACGGGGGGCGGCGGGCCGGCCTCGCTCCTCTCGCCGCTGTGCGGGGCCGAGGGAGGCGCGGTGTCGGCGCTGCGAGGGGCCGCCGCGCTGCTGAGCGCCGAAGCCCGGCACGTGCCGGAGCTCCCGGGCCGTCGTCAGCCGTTCGGCTGCGCTGCGCTTCGCACGGCCTTTGGGATTAGGAAGCGAACGTAGCGGAGAAAAAGGCCCCGTGAATAGAATAATTGCACGGCCGGCCTCCTGTAGCGTGCTCTCGGAAGCCCGGCGGGGTGTCTCGGCGGGTCGCGCGGAGCTCGGCTCCTGGTCGTGCTGCAGGACGGACCCGCAGCTCCAGGGATCCAGCCGCTGCTTCGCTGCCTGCCGCGTGGCGCCTCCATCGCCTTCCTCTGCCTTCTGGGCCACGAGGAACCCCTCCACCCGAGTAGAGGTGGCACCGCGGCCTTCTCCAGAGACTCGAGGAGCGGTTTGTGTCCGTCCGTCGTGGAGGTGATGGGTGGTGCACGAGTTGGCCGCCAGCCTTTGCCTTTGGAGGCCTTCAGGTGTGATGATTGCGCCTGGCTTATGGTGCTTTAACGCGCCTGTACGACTTTGCCCCGTGAATGTTTATTGTACTGAAGCAGCGGCAGTGCCTGTGCATCGTAACCAGGCAGTCCGTGCTAGCCAGAACTGCGCGAAAGTTAATAATTCGGAGATTCCTCTAGCAAAGGAATCCCGTGTCTGGTGGCTGTTCTGCAGGCAGGGGTTTCAGCATGTTGGGAAAAAGACAAAAGACCTCTTTAGAGAACATCTTCAGTTTCTCTTCCTGGGATTGAAAGCCCCAAGTTCCTAACTCTGGAAATAAGGAACAAGGAAAGTTTACAGTGTAACTGCTTGTTCGTATCTTCAAATTAACGTACCTGATAACAAGGAAATGATCAGGGAGGTCATCCAAGGCAACAGCACGCAGAAAATAACATGGCACAAAGTAGAAAAGGAAAAAAACAGGGCAAGCTCTGAAACTGTGGGAAGACTGGGGCTGACAGAGTAGCTTTGCTTAATTTCTGTTGCAATAAATGTGTACACTTTGGATGGATCACCTATGTAGGTAAAATGTTCTGCTGTTTAACAAAGCACTCGTATCCCAGTAGGAAAAGCTTATGGAGTGTGTGTGCCTCTGAGTACAATAGCAAATAATTAACAATCACAGGAGCCTTCTGTACTGTAAATTGTTTCTCACCTTTCTGGTCACTGTTAGGTTGCTGGGAGGGTTTTTCCCCATCCTTGTTTTTTGCATACATCTTGGTGGTTGGTTTGTTGTGTTGTTTGTTTGTTTGTTTTAACCAGAGAAAACAAAACGGCTGCTGTGAGTTAAACTTGATGGAGATAGGAACACAGCCCAGCCATTTACAGATGGGTCTTCCCTTATTTCATGTACCTGAGCTGCCCTTACCAAACTGACTGAGGAGGCAGCTGCCTTTGGCTGAGGGCTGCACTTCTTTGCCTGTTCTGGTCTTTGGATGTGATCAGAGCTCTTTAAGTCCTGCTCATTTCTTCTGCTTTCTGGAAGTTCTTTGTGTTCAGGACTCAAAAGCAAATGGTAAGGTGGAGTAAAAAGAAGAAAGGTGCATTCTTTAAGGGTCAGGTTGCTGAATTAATGTGGGAAGTAACCTTGGCAGATCTGTGATCTGGTTCATTATTGATCCTCGTTTTTCTTAATATTGTGTCACTGTAGGTTAAGACTGAGCACTGTATCTGGTTCTCACTCAGCCTATGTCCTTTAGCTGTAGCTATCTTTAACAGTTCAGTAGAGCTAGCCTGTAGCTGGGTGCATTTTTGTCTGACTATAGGAATCAGTGTTCGTGTGGGTGTTGATGTAATAAATGCAGGACAGATTTTTCATCAGTTCTCACTTCAACTTCACTTCTTGACTGTCCTTTGAAACATTAAGTTGTGGATGGGAGAGGGCGTTGCCCATTTGCCTGTTGCTGTTTGCTCAGGCTCATTTAAGTATGTGCAGTAACTGATCACTATCACCCTGCAATTATCCCTTATTGCCATTTCACTACCACATGTCAGCAGAACAAGTGATTAGAGCACTGGGGATTGCTTGGTTTCTGTCTGAAACAGTGGTTGGTCAAGATGGTGCAATTCCTACATAGGTAGTATAAAATACAAATGTTCATATTCCAGATGCCATTAATATGGCAGTGAAGAATATTAGTTGTGAATGCCTCTGCTGGGATGGAAGTGACCTCACTTCCTTACTGCATTCTCCAGGCATTTATTGCCATGTCACGTTATCACCTGACAGATAAGGTTTCTGTTTGGAGCAGTCTGGAGCACTGCATTTGGGTGGCTGCTGGTTGAGATACATCTTAAGGGTTCACTGCTTCACAGCAGTGCCAGGGAGAGGGTAAGATGGCTTTCAAGCAAAGAAAGAGGATGAATGTGCAATGTTTTGGTACGGAATTCTATTCGGGATTTTGGGTTCTGTTTTCAGAACTATCACAAGCCTGTTATGTCAAAGCAGATGTAGTATCAAATCTTCTCTCTCAATTTAGCTGTCAGTCAGAAGATAACAATGTAGGAGAAAACTGCGGGATTTGATAAATGGTTCCTGTTAAGAGTTCAGTGCTTCAAAAGGAAGCCCTAAGCTGTAGTCACACTCCTGTGTGCTAAAATACAGCATGAAAAGTACTGCATAGAGTGGGAGTAGGAAGGGTACAGACAATAGTCACTGCAGTTAAAAGAGCTGCTGTGCTGATTGGACAGGTGACATACTGTCATTGTAACTTTTTCTGTGCTTTTCTTTCTTATATGCCTATGAGCTGATAGATCACTCATTTATTTTAAAATACCTCTGTGCGGTTTTGGCTAGTGATACTTGATAGCTGCAGTTTTAGCTAGGGCATCAAGGTAACACAAGTTGTTACAGACCAGTGATAAAATAAACTTAGGATTTCATGGTAGTTGGGAGCTGGTTATTTTTCTACACAGGAATCTTGTCTACACCTTTACGCTGGCTGCTCCAGCAGAAGTTCCATAAAATCACTGGATCTAGTTTGCAGTGAAACAGGTCAGTGGTCATTGTGACTTGAGTCTGTGCCCACCACCACGCACAGGGGAAAGAGAGCTGAGCTGCAGAGAAATATTACCAGGCTTTGCTGCATTTAGGTTATGCTGCTTTCAGAGTGATACTTGACCAGAATGGTGCAGCAGATCTGACATGGTTATCTGAGCTCCCTCTGGTGTGGAGGGAGGTTATCCCAGATCTTCTGGACGTGTTCTGAGGTGTTCTATAGGGGCTGCCTTTCCTTCTCTGTGAATTTCACAAGGATGTTTGACTGCTAACGTGAACGGCCATCTTTCAGATAGCTTAGACCAGGTGAGCTCAGCCCCACGCAGTGTGCACATGTCAGCCATACAGCCTCTTAGTTGCTAACTGTACCTTCTAAACACTGGCTGCAGGTCTGCATGCTGCTCTTTTGCTGCATAGCTCAATGCTGCTGGTACCTGCAGGATTGCAGTGTCTGATGATAACATATTGTCTTTCCCCATACAGGCTGAAGGGAAGGCGGTGCTCATAACTGGCTGTGACAAAGGTTTTGGACATGCCTTGGCAAAACAGCTTCATGCAAAGGGGTTTACTGTTTTTGCTGGATGCTTGCTAGCGGTGAGTAATTATATTGATCAGAATTTCACAGAATTTCACAGAATTTCACAGAATTGCCAGGGTTGGAAGGGACCTCAAGGATCATGAATCTCCAACCCCCCTGCCACAAGAAGAGCCACCAATCATCCCACCTAATGCTAGACCAGACTGCCCAGGGCCCCATCCAATCTGGCCTTGAACACCTCCAGGGATGGGGCATCCACAGCTTCTCTGGGCAGCCTGTTCTTCTTGGACTAGAGAAATATTTTTCTCAAGTAACAGCCTTTTTATCTGCAGCTTCCATTTGTCTTAATCCAAAACCCGTGGGAGGTAAGGTGGGGTTTCATCCACCTGTTGAATCTTGTTGTTCCTGTAATTCTGAGCTCTTTAGGGCAGGGACTGTCTGTCAGCTGCATGTCTGTACAGTAGCTTGCACAATAGTGTGCAAGGTTTGAGGTTGCTGCTGGAACGTCCCAGCAATGCTGCAAAATACACAATAAACCTGGTGGTTCAAAATTGCTATGGCACCATGCTTTCATGTCTTCTCAGGCATCTCTGTTGCTATTTTTCATTCTATCACTGTCCTTTAAGGACATTTTGCTCAAACTTCTCTCCAAGCCACATTGGTTGGGTTTATTTCCAAAGTGCTTCTGCAGCTTCTCTGAAAGCTGTCTGCTTTTTGGATAGATGAACAAACCAACTAACTGTACCCTTCTGTAGGTCTCACCTCCTGTCATTTTACTTGGTAGGTAGTATCAATTGTAAGAGATCAGTTTAGGCACATTGAATCAGAAGGAGCTGCAGAGCTGTCAGCCCAGTCCCTGCTCTTGCAGGTAATCATGTTGTGTAATCCTCTATAAATTGGGCACGGTCTGCTTCCATTTGCAGTTTTATCCTTTTTTTTTTTTTCTCTTTAGACTATCAAAACTTATGTAATTTCCAGCATTAATTGTTTAAAATCTGTTCATGCCCGCTCGTTTGTCTATCAAATGATCTTCAATTTCTTATCTCTTCTCTGGATGGAATGACAGTGTGCTCAAAGCTTCTCTCAACATTTGTTTT